GTTGGGTTCACTTTGCGGTTTTCCTCCGATGCCTCAATTTCTCAGAGAGGGTCCCTCGGTCCTTTGCATCATCTTGAGCATTTTCTCTCTGGTCACTTCGTCTTGACTCTGGGATCCCACGTCTTTGCTCCCTGCCCTTGCACGCGCTAATATTACTAGGCAGGTATAATCTCCGCATCACAGCAAACAATCATCGTGATGTATGGAAACCTAGTTCGATTTACGGCTAGAGGCGAAATACGGTTATGAAACCATGAATTCTTATCCTCATTTCAGCAATACCCGTTCCCTTACCAAGCAAGCTTGCCATGCAGAATCTACTGAATGATCCACTCCTACCTGGGCTCGGATCTAGCTTGATGAAGCCGCCAAACTCTGAAAAAGCCACCCGTTCCGTTTAATCTCTCAGGTCCAATTCGCGGGGTGGAACAAACTCACAACAATGATTGATAGACGACATGTCAAGCGAGCCAAGACGAGAACAACTCTCGGGCCGACGCACCGTTATCTATCATCATTCGGAGAGATGCATAGGCCCTTACAGCTATTGAAGACCCAACATACCAGAGGCCAGAACGATGCTGTCTGTGTGATTGGGATCGCTCTAAGAACGAAAGCGTCATTACACTTCCATTAATTGGTAATCCAGCCTTCAGGGGTATCGTCATGTTCCTGGTCGGCCAAACTATTGAATGCCGAGACACGGCTATATCTTGATTATTGTAGCCAACATGGTCTTTCGACTGTTGTTGCGATTTGCAAATAAACTTCTACATGCTGCACGGCAGGCCCAGCAATGATGAAGATAAGCCCAAGAACTAACAGCACGCCACAGAACGAGTTGTACGTGACTGATCAGTGATGAATGCTCAGGAACGAGTACGAAAGTGGTGTTCTTCACCCCCCATTCCTCGGCTCATCCTTCGGAAACCATCAGATGAAAGTTCACTCTCGGCACTGGATGTAGACTCAGCATGAGTGATGAGATTCAACTGGAGTTTTCCTTCCCCTGTAGGCACCTTTGGCGATGTCAACATGGTCTGATTCTCACATGGACTATCAAACAAATCACCTCAGAGGCAGTAAAGACGAACAAGATGTTCCAAAGATCTAACCGCTCTGGACAATCAACTGACATTTAACAATATTCCAATACTGTATTCACGAGGTGTTATTTCGGCGTAAATATATCAGAACAAAGTCATCTGCCTCTCATTTCATCCCCGGAGCAGACTACAGAGTACATGTGGAAGACTCGGCAATACTACAGTGGAAACGGCTGATCTTATACGGTTGCTAGAGCATGTATTTCTCCTCCCTTCCCCCTATTCTTCTTTCATTTATTTTTCTTTATTTTTAACTGTTTTATCTATTTGTTTTTATATCTTTTTATATAACACTTTTACCACGAAGTCAACATGAGATCTAAGCTTCATGTCGCCCAATCGCGAGGACTTTATACCTAAGCCTGCACACGCTGTGCCATACCTTTCTAAAAAAGAAAAATCATCTATAACCCTCCAGGTAGTTATTGCCATGTCTTAACGCCATTTCGCCATACTGTCTATATACACGCTAAAATTCGAGGCAAATATCGATAATAAAGGAAATATCGGTTGAGCTTGCCCTGGTAGGTCGAGGGGATTCCTTGTCCTGGCGGGCATGTTCTCCATCTGAGGAGTTCTGACGAAGATGAGACTTATTCTCCAAAGACGGTATTGTCGTCTTGGTCCATCTGGTCCATTTCCTTGGTAAACTCGGGGGTTTCCTTGAAAGCATATCCGGGGTGGCCAGCATTCAGGAGAAGAACAGCAATGCACATCATGCTAAGAACAGTTAGTGAGTTGTTACTATAATGTGACAATCTTCAAGGGCTCTTACCAAGATTCAAGAGCGATGTAGAGACCTTCGTCTCGAAAGATAGCACTGAAGTATCCCCCATTGAGCTCGGCAATGCGGTAGCCACATCGAATCAGGATGAAGATGGTCGAAAGAAAAAGGAAGAAGAGGAAAGTGAGGATGGGCTTAGTAAGGCGATATCGGGCCGGTGACTTGGAAGCCCTGATAACGTAGTCGATGAACAATGCAACGAAGCAAAGTAGAGTGACGACTTGGAAGACGAGGCCAGCGATGGAGATGTCCTCTCCAGTCTTGACGTCGTCCTGCGCTGTGGAAACAACTGAGACTGCACCGCCGACGGCTTGGAGGATGAGGGAGATGATGTCGGAAGGGATGAAGATCCAGTAGAAATACTTGGGGGAGAATCGAGAGACACTTGGGTCGACAAAGTTGATGCTGAGAGTGTCAGTTGTGCTTCTTCTGAGTGAACTGGGGAAACTTACACCTGGGACAGAAGAACATAGATGGCAGCAGAGAAGAAAACGGGGGCAATGGTGATCATGACTGGGCCAGAGTTAGTCAAGTTCTCCCTTTCCATCCATGCTTGTTCGATTTTGGTTTAGAAACACTTACTGATCTGCAATAGAAAGCCAATAAAGTCGAACGGATTATCGTGGATGATGAGACGCCCGATGTAACCGATAATCTCGAGAATACATCCTGCCATCATGCTCGCCATGAAACCCCATGTCTTCATCTTGATGCCTTGGAAGATGTGGAGAGCCATGGACAATCCGAATACTCCGATGAAAATGGCATTGGCGGGAACATTCGGTTGGTATCGCAGTATACTCGACTCGAGGGGACATAGTTCGAGTGTACAATTGGCATCGGAGCCGAATGAGATAAGCCCGCCGGGTAGTGGTGTGTGGCTCATGTTTGCGATCTTCACAACGTCTTGGAGTTAGGGTTGATAAACTTTTCGGTAGGGCCGGACTGGATATGCAGGAACTGATCAGAGCTCGCAGTTGTTTACTGTTGGATGGTTGTTATGATGTGATGGATTAGATATCTGGGGAAGACAGCAGATTCACGTCTTTATAAAGGGGCAGGTTTCAAGATATCAGATCTCGGCACCCGTCGGAACAAATATCCAAGATCTGACTCCGCGGGCATAGCGAGCCAACTACGTCAACTGGCACCACTGATCCTGAATTCCTATACTATTTCAGCTGCAGTGGAGAAGAAAAGTCGATTGTGCACTTCAGGATCAGGTGGGTCCGGGTGCGCCGTCCGTCCGGGGCTCCGGCCGATCGGGCGCCCGCGGGAGGCGGACGGGCAAAATGGACATGAAACATGAGGCTGAGTTTAATAGAGTTCTATAATTCGCACTAATACGAGAGATCTTGATAAGCTATTTCTAGATTTAATGAGAATCCACGTCAGCATGGCATGGTTTGCGCGAGTGTTGTTGAGTTAGAGTTTGCTGTGGACTGTTGATAGGCATAGAGAACGTGGCTGGCCAGTCCAGAAGTCACTGGATATGCAAAGATGTATCGCGAAATTAGTTATCCTTACGCCATATCTCCTCGCTCTAGCATGATTATCTCGGCCGCAACGGGCATCTACTGTCCGTACCTTGCATGATCTGGCTCGGCAGTGGTGATCGGATATACATCCCATGGTGATGATGGCTGCATCGTGACATGACACTAGGTCCAAGCCGGTGTTGATCTTATCTTAGACTCATTTCGTTACAACTATTGCTATATTCGTACTCAGCCCCAGAGCATTGTCCTCACTGTGAGCCTATGCTTAAATTCTGGATATTCACAGCCAGGTTGATCCAGCCTGTAGAGATATGCAGGGTAGACTTGACAGCCAACATACGGTTAGGTATTTACTTTACAGGTCAAATCAGATCAAGAAATGACAATTCCACAAGTCATCAGTTATTACTTCATCATGACAAGAGAGGTCAAATAAGAATATCATGGTGTCAAATATGATGCTCAACATTTCCTTATATCTACGCTGATATTGTTGCCGACTTGGGGTTGCAGTTCGGACTCAGCCAAGCCGGAGCACAGGGTTTGGCCCGCGCCTCCGACCGGGCCCGAGTCATGCCGATTCCGTTGTCAACTACGACATCAAAATTTGTTAGTGATCCTTCAATCTGAAACTATTTATAATGTGGCCCATATCTCATCGCTTCAGAATCCGATAAGTAAGCCATATCGATATCCTATCCCTTCCATTAGAATACAAGAAGGCAGAATTGATGTATTGCATCAGAAGAGATAATCCGGATGGCTGATTATTAAGCATATCGTGATGATCTGATTGGATATAGATCGGTATGATCTCACCGGTACCTAGATTCTGTCTTCTCGTATCCTAAGGGATCACCCATAATATATTATCTTGTTTCTCCCTTTCCCCGTTTCACGGATCAAGTACGGTATGGAATATATATCTTGCTTAGACGTATTACCACGCGTTTTATGTGTTTTCACCAGGCGACAGTCAGGGATGTAGTGTATCTGCGGTTATTATGTGTCCTCTGCATAAGAATCACTGCAGTATGCTTCGAAACGGTTGATGCCTAGATGCTCTATCCACGAATATGAAAACACTTGTCTTCAAGATACAGGACTCGCATCCGAGACACGTGTACCAACTACGCAATTGAAAGAGTCAGAACCCTCAAAGAAACCGTGTTCAGTTTAGGAATCAGAATAAAAAGTCGTCATTGTGCCCAACAAAAGACACTTGCCTCTATCACGAGGGTCAAGTCTGCATTCAGGTGATCAGCTCTTTTTGACTCGAGACTTATTCCTCCATTTGTAGCACCAACTTTTAGTGGGTCACTCACTAAGCCATCACCGTCACGCGAAAAAAGTGCCCCGCCCCCGCTCACGGGAGTTTCGGCGCCCACTTCCTCTTAGGTCCATTTTCAGCTCAGCTCCCGTCAGCTTCAACCACTAAACGTCACCTACCTTATCCTGAAACTTATTCTATTACACCTACAGAAAACCCTTTTCCCTTCTCTTCCTTAAACCTCTCGGAGACAATTACCCTCTTCTCCGTTGGTCAAACCCCCGCTCACATCTAGATTTAACTGCCGAGCCACGCACGAGGTTTCACCTCGGATTGCAGCCATGTTTGACCTTTTTCCTATGCTCTTATCGTAAGCTTCAGCCCTATACCTCTTCGTCATGAGGCGTCATACTCGCAATGCGATAACCACCCCAATCAGCTCGCAATGCCAATGGATCTGATTTACTGACTGTTCCTTTGTTCTGAATAGTTCTGTCGCCTGTTATCTGTTTCCTATCTTTGCATCTTACAAAGCGCTCAAGACACATGATCCCACCCAGCTGACGCCATGGCTGATGTACTGGGTGGTGCTCAGTTGCTGTCTTCTCGCTGAGTCTTGGGTTTGGTTTATTGTGTCATGGTATGTCTGAAACCCAGACCTGACACCTTCTGTACTGACACTCGCAGGATTCCGCTTTACGGTTATTTCCGTTTACTCTTCCTCCTCTACCTTATCCTCCCACAGACACAAGGCGCTCGGCGTCTATACGAAGAATATGTCCATCCTTATCTTGAAAAGAACGAGACGCAGATTGACGACTTCATCGCAAGCGCACATGAGCGCTTGACTGCTGCCGGAATATCTTACCTCAAGCTCGCTATCGAGCAGTTCAAGGTCAAGGTCCTCGGTCTTCCACCATCCGAACCCGAGTCGCCTCCTCCCGAGCCTGCGCAAGGCTATACGCAGTCGCTTCTGTCACGATTCAACGTCCCTGCCGCGCGATGGGCTGGTAACAACAGCAGCGGCACCGACTTTTACAGCCTACTCTCCAGCGCCGTGGCAGCTGCTACCAACGCAGGTGCAGGTGGACAATCAGCTGGTACGAGAACAATTGGAGGTGAGCCCACAAACTCGGGCGCATTGATCCCACCGCATCTTCGCGAGTCTGGGGCCAGAATGGACTTCATCTCGGCTCAGCGCGATCGCCTAAATGTCCTGATCTCGGCACTTGATCGGGAGGCCCAGGATCTTCGTACCGAAGCCCAGCGTGCCCAGACAAGCACAGGCACTCGCCGAGACCCCATGGCCTACGGAGGTTATGATAATAATGAGGAGGACGAACCTACCCAGCGACCACCTAGTGGACTAAGCGGATGGAGTGGTATTAGCAAGAGTCGCAGCGAGACCGATTTCGAAAGGATCGACGCAGAGACTAGTTCGGACGAAGACCATCGCCAGGTGCGCCGAAGAAACCAGGGAGCTGGCACTAGAAATGCATCAGGCTCATGGGTTCCTTGGGGATGGGGCGGTGATGCCGCATCAGGTGGTGGAGCGAGCGCCTCCGGAAGGGAAAGATAGAAACTCCATTCTGGGAAGTGGGTTTTGAATGATCATGGGTCTTACTAAGGTCCTCCGTAGATATGGTGTTTCTTGACATGAGCCTGTTGATATTCGGCGCAATAGCTGCTCCAGTGCATATCTATAAATGGACATTGGTGTACATGAACTCGTTCTTCTTTAAAGACAGTCGTAGATCTTGGTCTGGTGATTCGTGATCCATTCGTTTTCCTCTGAATTACTAAGTATCGCTCCATGCGCCAAAGCCATACGTCTAACCCATCCATATCATACAGTAGGGGATCTACCCCGAGATTCTATACAAATGTAGTGCACGAATACATGACAGATGCCTAACAAAACTTGTAGGGGTACGTTGCGTCAGCGAGACCCTTCTTGTAAAAGAAAGTCCTCTTCTTCTTAGTGACCGTGTGCTCGACCCATTTTTCCTCTATGTAATGCTTTTTGAACCAGCGGATGTACACAGGATCCCAGAGTTCAGAGGCGATACCGAGATCCTTGCAGCAACGCATCAGGGCGTTTGATTTGGCACCCTCAATGGCGGCGGGGATAGATTCGGGGCTGAAGTAATTGTTGTAGCCCTGCGATTGGGAGACGATTCTGTTCTCGTTAGTCACTATATAATATTGGAAATTGGTTCACTTACCGGCCGTTCACGATGAGGGCGTATTCACGCGTCACGATCTGGTTACCGATAACGACTTCCCCACGATGGACCATTCCCCAAGCCATCGGTCCAAAGGCCTCATTCAGCCGTCGTCGGTACTTGACCTCTGGCAAGTAGATGATACCATCGGGCTTGACCTCCACATCTTCAGCATCAACTGGTCTTGCGAGAATCTCACTCTGCTCAGGTGTAACAGCCTTCACACCAAGGCCATACCAGCTCGTCTCCCAGTTGATGTGCTCTGTGTTCTCCGTGTCCGTCTCGCTTGTCTCGCTCAGAATGCTCTTCGACACCGTAACAGGCTTGTGTGGGCTCTCCGGCTTAGCACTCTTGCTGCTTGCCGTGGGCTTTGGAGGAAACGTCTTGGGCGCATATGTAGACTTTGCAGATGCGGCTGCAGGTGTAGATCTTACAGTTGGCGACTTTGCAGACGCAGTCGAAGGTGCAGCTTTAGCTCTGGTAGTGTATTTGGGCTTTGTAACGACGTCTTCTTGCTTCACTTGTGTAACATCTTGATCAGGCTTTTGCAGCGTCACGTCTGATGCTTCGGTAGCGTATCGTGCAATTGGACGAAAGGTGGTGGGGAGTCTTCGGGCTGCGAAGAGGGCGCGGCGAGGGACGAACATTGCGGGTTGGTATGGGGAGTTGTATATGGTGAGCTTCAAGCTCGATGAAGCTATGGCGATAATTTCAAGGGCGGGTGGATTGATTGTCCGGTGGGGGACAGTGCTAGTACTGTGTATGTCATATCATGATGCCTTGATTGAGTGAACTTATTTGGAGTCATCGTTTCCTAATCGCCTGGAAAGGAGAGCCTGATCTTGGTAGTGTACATTTTATACAGTAATAGTACAGTAGATTTCCCCTAATGCGACTTCAATTGTCCTTGGTCTCTGTACGTTGGTCGTTGTTATGAGCCTTCCAGCACTGTTTGAATTGCTCCATCTATGATACTGTCAGCTCAGGTCTATGACAGCATAAGAGCAATGCTGCAAGGCAGCTCGAAACAAATAAAATAAATGTGATTGCTTTGGATTCGAATTTTGATACTCACTTCTGCAGCGCATGCGCGCCAATCCTTCTTTTCAAAGTAGCAGTCGGTCATTTTTGCGTTCTCATCTGAGTTGGTGATGCCTGTTAGCAAGCCTGTTTCTCAACAAAACGATTAGTGGGCAAGTAGTTGAGGCGTAGACTTATAGAACCTCATAGGGTTCCTATATCTCTTTTTGTATTTTACCATTGGGTTTTGTAAGAAAAACAAGACTCACCCGCGCATCCAGTGCTGAAGATCCGCTTGTCCCTTCATCAACGGTTAGCAAAGGCCTCGGCTTTCGGTTTCTCAACGGAAAAGAGCGCTCACTCACCATTCATCGGGCTCGTCGTCGTCTTCTTGCGTGCTCTGCTGAGCATTGCTCTCTTCTTTTGTCATACTTTCGACTGGTCTCTTGTCCAAAATTGTGGTGATTGAGTCTTTGTGTGTTATCGTTGAAAGAGGTTAAAGGTGGTTCGAGGCGGAGATTTTGGCTGAGGCGAGATCCAGCAAAAGTCAAGTGACAAGACTACACGAACAACTACGATATCACCAGGATCAGCCAAACACTGACAATGGCACCAGCAAAGCTCAACGTGCTTGTTTATACAGGTTTGATCCATCAACTCCCTTCACAGGCTGTTACACCCACTGATTCACCATCAAGGCATTGGCACCACAGTTGAGTCAGTGCGGCATTGTATCTGGTCCCTCCGCCGTCTTCTCGGCCCCAACTACGCCGTCATCCCCATCACCGAGAATATCATCCTCAAAGAGCCATGGCAAGCAACATGCGCACTCCTCGTCTTCCCAGGCGGTGGCGATCTCGGCTACTGCCAGGCATTGAATGGTGAGGGAAATCGTCGTATCGGCGACTATGTTCGCCGAGGAGGCTCTTATCTGGGCTTCTGTGCTGGCGGCTACTACGGTACACAGAAGTGCGAATTTGAAGTGGGAAACAAACCCATGGAGGTTGTTGGACGAAGAGAGCTGGGGTTCTTCCCAGGGACCTGTCGAGGTGGTGCGTTCAAAGGCTTTGAGTATCGGAGTGAAAGGGGAGCGAGGGCTGTGCGTTTGACGATCCCAAAGGGTGCCTTTGAACAGGAGGTTGCGTCTGAAATCATCTCTTACTATAACGGAGGAGGTGTCTTTGTTGATGCTGCTTCGGTCAAGGATAGAAAGGTCGAGGTTCTCGCTACTTACGATGAGGAGCTTGATGTCGATGGCGGCGATGGGAAAGCAGCAGTTGTTCTTTGCACAGTCGGAGATGGTAAAGCTTTGCTTACTGGCCCTCACCCCGAGTACGTTTCGATATGTTTACCGTATATATGTACTGACTGATACACTTTAGGTTCGCTGCGGCCAACTTGAATCCTCAGCCAACCGTCCCGGGATATGATGACCTAGTCACCAAACTAGCAGACGCCGATAAGGACCGAGCTGCTTTTCTCAAGGCATGTCTCACAAAGCTCGGTCTTGAGGTTAGCCCTCACGACACAGGTGTTCCCTCGCTCTCCCATCTTCACCTCTCCTCCATTACCAACACAGGAGTGTCAGAGCTATTGACTGACTGGAGCGACATCATCGACAAGGAGAACGGCGAAGAATGGATCCGAGCGGAAACAGACACCTTTCACATCCAGAATGAAGATACAATCTGGAGTCTCGAGGGGCTTCAGCAATCTCTGACAGAGACAACGGACTCCAATATCTCTGAGAATGGCAGCATTGACTACAGCAAGATCATCAAGAAGATCTTTCCTCACGAGAATGGTCTTCCTCATCCCAAACTTACACCACATTTCAACCATGGTCTATTCTTTTCAAGCCTGAAGCGTTATCGACAAACTGAGCCAACTGCTAGGGCATGGGGTGACTTGCTCATGTACGGCGAAGTTGTCACAAGCACAAATACCATGCTTGAGAAGTATGTTCTTCCTCCCAAACAGGGGACTTACAAGACTGACATGTACCAGGAACCCTAAGCTCATGCCGAAACTCCCAAGCGGCTTCACAGTCTCAGCTACCACCCAAGTTGCTGGCCGTGGTCGTGGCTCCAACGTCTGGATTGCTCCTCCTGGAATGCTCATCTTCTCGACCGTAATCAACCACCCAGCCCACCTCGCTGTGACTCGTCCTGTTGTATTTATTCAGTATATCACAGCTATTGCTATGGTTGAGGCTGTGCAGTCTTATGATCGTGGCTACGAGAACATTCCCATCAAGCTAAAGTGGCCCAACGACATTTGTAAGTCAATCCGGCTCCTTTGCAAGACCAAGTCTAACATTGCTAGATGCCCTTGATCCCACAAAGTCAAAAGAGAAACCACACTACGTTAAAGTCGGCGGCATTCTCTCCCAGTGTCTCTATTTCGACGGCAACTACCAGATCATTCTCGGCGTAGGCCTCAATACCATCAACCCCCGTCCCACAATCTCTATATCCGACCTCGTTCCCTCAGGGGCACCAGAACTTCATCTCGAAACCCTCCTAGCACGCGTTCTCACACGCATCGAAGCCATTTACGCTCAATTCCTCCGAGAAGGGTTCTCAGCTGATCTTGAAGCCCGCTACTACCGCCACTGGTTACACACAAGACAAGACGTCACTCTCGAGGCAGAAGGTGGTGTCAAGGCTCGTGTGGTGGGAATCACGCGGGATTGGGGAATGTTGAAGGTTGAAGAGATAAATGCTACCGGGAGGTCGACAGGGAAGATCTGGGCATTGCAGAGTGATGAGAATAGCTTTGATTACTGGAAAGGCCTGGTCAGGAGGAAGATGTGAGAATACATATGTGGTGTCGAAGCGCTGGGAGTAGGCATATATGGGTGAGAAGAAGGGGCTGGGCGAGCATCAGATGCACACCGAGGGTCAAAGAGAATATCTCAGATATTGCGTGTCGTTTCAACAAGAAGAATGGTGAGCTCGGGGAGTGCCTGGATTATCCATCTATGTCATCAGCTCTTATTTATCTGAGTGATGCTGTCATCCCTGACACTTGATGTCGCTCAGCAATGAACCATTTTCCAGATCATCTTTATATATGACTTGCCCTTCGTGACTGGATAATCCTTGGGTTTCTTTTTGTGCTGGCATAATTAACCAGAGCTGGGGTTAGGCTCTGAGTGTATGGGTCTCTTCGTCTGTTACTCACAGCCCTGCCAGGCTTAGCATCTAACCACAGATGGTACTGCAGCTGACAATGTTAATTTCTCTCCCAACCCTACCGTCGTTAAAACTATTTAAACTTCTGAGGGGGCTGTCCTGCAATGTGACATTCCTGACTGCTCGTTTCCTTCCCAGTATCATCCTTCGCGGGCAGACACAAATCCATTTCCCAAAAACACAATGTGCTTCCTATTCACAGATCCTGAACTTAGGTAAGTTCATAAGACACCTAGGCTAGTGTACAGGACTTTCACTCATTTTCTCGACAGTATTGATGAAACTGAATTGCAAACTGCCAACCTCAACATAGACAAAAAAGGGGTCACACTATCGGAGAATGAGGCTTCACCAAACCGCCAGAGATACGCGCCTCGTGATTTCAAAGACCTTACTGGTCATACCTTCGGCACAATACCTCCAGATTTCAGGCCAGTACTTACCATACCATGGTCAGAGCGCCCTGACCAAGGCATCTCGGAGCTTGCAGCCGACTTGACTATCATTGAGAGGTTTACCACAGTCACTCAGTCAGAACAATCCATAACGAGGAGTGTTCCGCGAAGGCTCACCCCGGGTACCGAGATAGAGATAGTCACCGTTATTGATGGAACCAAGTTCATCCCCCCAAGCAGCACATCAGACGTGACGAGCCCCAGTCAGGGGTCAGAGTACACTTCACTCAAGGAGACGACTACTGAGATGCTCAGCTTGAGCACCGAGACAACTCGGCTCGCTTCATTCTCTTACAGATCAAGTGAGGGAAGCTCTTGGACTACATCATACGCAACCGATTCAAGCACAGAGCTTCTACCAGCTTCTTCATCCCCGACTGCGTCTGAAACGTCAGGTCTATCAGATACCACAAGATATATAATAGGGGGTTTCGCAGGTGTTTTTACCCTTTGTGTTGCGATACTCATCTTTTGTTTGGTACGAAGTTGCGTAAAGGGACCAAGACCGCGGCATAGAGAGCAACATGAATTGCGAGATGAATCACGACATCAACCACGACAAGAACTGCAATCTGAGCCACGACATGAACCGCGATATGGACCGCAGTATGGGGCATCAACTAATGTTGCTGTCACTATCTGCAAGAACCATGCCGAGATACAGCCACAACAAGCGGTTCCGGACTATGGGTGGAAAGCTTGAAAATCTCGACGACTCAAGGAGACCTTGATTAACAAGGATATGATTGAACAAGGATGCAGTGTCCTTCCATAGTTCTTTAGTTGCACAAAATATGACTACCCCCTCTGAATCTATGCATTACACTGCCTGACCACAACATGATCTATCTACTCTCGTATAGTAACTCACAATGACTGCAATGCATCTTCAATAACAGATTGGAATACCTTGAATCAGCTCAGTGTGCCACTTATATATAGTCCTCCAAGGCCCCTACCCCTGTGTTCGACTTCTTCCCAAACCTTCACGAGCATTGACCCAACTACCCAATCGTCCAAGTAAGAGGCCTTCCTACCTTGTTTCTCTTATCTCATCGATAATATAAAAGTCTACTAGATCATGGAGAATGAGGAGATCTCCGCCTCTCATGGGGCTGATCCTTCGCGCACCCACCACCAAAATGACCCTCGCGAGCTTGTAGATTTGACTGGAAGTGTCTACAGCACAGTTCCATCTGGCTTCGAGCCAGTCCTTACATTTTCATCAGAGGACCTTCCAGGAAAAGACAGAGAGGATGTGACAGTCATCGACAAGGTTGATGGCACTTCCATCAAAGATGGCGCGATGATCATAGGTACCGAGACTTGGGAACCCTTCACTTGGTATACAAGGCATAAGCACGAGACGTTCACTCTTGTCTTGCGTCCTACGGAGACCACGAGCAGCGATAACGATATACTCAGTATAATCAGTCATTTGACGCTGCCAAGTGCAACTCCGACAACCTTGAGCGAGGAGTTGACTTCAAGTTCGTCGACTGAGAGTTTGGCAATTCCGACTACTGCATCCTCCAGCGGCTCTCTTTCTTCAGGTGGATGGACTTTCGTATTCGTTATAGCCGTATTTTTGTTTATATTTTCCATCATTGCCGCTGTGGTTCTAGGGCTCCGTTGGCGTTCCAGGCACAATCAGAACAATTTCAACTTCCAGCTCGACAATGGTTCCTTTGGGCACACCTACACGGAGCCTGTGCAGCCTGTCGAGCCAGCGCCAGCGATTCTGAAATCATAAATGATTGCACGACATGGGAATAACTCTGGCTGTACGCAAGGTCGACACAGATGCAGAGCCTCGTGATAGCACTTATTAGTTACACAAATAGCATTATCTTTCTCTGAATCGATCACTCTTGATAAGTCTCTTCACTATTTAATAAGTCTCATAACCCAACAACTCATAGCAAGTGATTATATCTCTGATCTAGACAGCGACTTACCTTTGAATCAGCCCAGCATGGTGACTATATACATGGCCCTTGGAGCCGTTCTCCCAAGAGCGATTTCAACAAACAGTAGATATGGCAAACAGTGCTTTTTTTCTTTCCTACAAGACTTTAAATGACTTCTCAAGATGGCTGTTCCCTTTCCTGACTCTGAGTACATGTGAGTACAACTCAGCCTCTGGATTCGCTCAAACCCTGACATTATGGTAGCGACGAGGCTCAAACCCAGTCTCCTGACCTGGAAACGACCGAAAACGAAGACTTCGAGCATGAGCTCACATCTTATTTCCTTAATGAGCCTCGTATCTTCATCGATTCCTTGGGTCATACTTATAGCTACATGAAATCCAACCAAGAACCGTATTCAACTTATGCGAAGATTATTACAATCCCACGCAAAAAGGTTCAAGAACCGGTGACTTTCACTTCAAGACACACTATAACCCTTACCTCGATGGCAACTCTAACTTCATTTACTACTATATTCGAAACGAAGCACCTAGGTCCCGCCGATCCATTGCCCAAAGTCACTTCCAAGATCACTACCCATATCACAATAACAGCTGTCAAGGACCATTCGACAGGTTCCGCTCGGACAAGTCTACCAACCGCAGACCTCAGCCCTTTATTTCCTCCCAGCGTTGATGCGAACACTGATCCATCACTCTGGAGTACTGTTACTATAAGTGACAGCATACGATCAAGCTCAGCTTTGCCTTCATTGTTTACCACGAGCCAAGATGAACCGAAGCTACCAACAGGTACAGAAGCCTCGTCTTCAAAGGACTCTTTAACAGCAGGTGAGGTTGCGCCTATCGCAGTCGGTGTGCTCTTCCTACTTGCCACAATATGTTTAATAATCTGGTATTGGTTACGAAGTCACCGAAAGCGAACAAGCACCAGTCCCGGCACTGGTGTATCACGTGGCGTGAGAACTTCACGATCAAACCCAACTCCGCCAAACTCGCCTTACGGTCAAGAGCTCAAACCTATATTAACCCCCTATCGCTCTACCGATGTAAACATGCTTCTAACTACCGATGCACGTCATATGTCTTTCGAGTTGGATGAAAATGGTTGTAACATGGGCCTCAAATACTATAAGTTCGAGCCTTCTGGTTCGAGACCTCCTGACGGACACAGTACAGATCTCGACCAATATCCTGAGTCAAAGGGCAAGGAGCGTGCAGAATAGCAAAGTTTGATATAAGAAAGTATACCCCAAAGCTTGATTTCTCTTCACTTATGAGAGGCTCTCGTTAGATCTCCGCATATAACTCAGACTTAAAAGGCATCCTTTGCAAAAGCTTGATATCGTGTCTGAATGAGTGGCATGTGACACTGTGACAAACGCTAGGGTCTGCAGCAAACAACTGTCGTAGAGTTTCGTTGGCAACCATGAGAGGATTCACGCACAAAACTTTACCTTTGGATGTATATATGGAAGCCTAGAAGTACAAGACATAAAATGGAACTTGAGACGCAAAACATACGAATATCGCCCGCATCTCATCCGTTCTGTCCTTTCTGGTCCTTATACCCCTAGACCGTTGCGTTTGCTACAGCCATCGGAGACTCGACTTGACTACGCCTAACTTCCAGCATCTAAAGGTTTTCCGTTATTTGGAACACTTTGCAAGATGTTTCTTCCCAGACTTTCCCTCCTAGCAGTTATGGCAATACCCGTAGCTGCCCTGAATTGCCAAAGTGAAGTCACAGACGCGACGATAGACCGCAACTGGTTGTTGTCAGGTTGGTAAGTCACATATACTTCATCTCTCATCTCAGGGCTATACTGATATCTTCTCTCTGTATAGTGGCCCTTGTCGCAAGAACTCATTCGAAACTCACCCTGAAGTGCCTAATGACGACGCCGGCGGCTTCAGGTATGACGAAGACAACGATGCAACCTACAAAAGCATCTGCGACGTTTGCCGCAGTGACTATGGCCCCAAACAGCCAGGTCGCGATGACTATGGCCCCAAAGACCCAGACAAGGTCATAACCAGCCCGACCTCGGTGCTCAGCTTGCCCAAGGAGACACCAACCATTGCGAGTATGGAAACAATACAGGCGAAACCTCGCGTCGGATGGCCAACCCCTCCAGGTCCCGATTATGGCGCTACGTTTAACAATAATGATCCTCAACAGCCAGGTCGCGATGACCATGGTCCTAAACAACCAGAAAACGGTATTACCAGTTCAGTCGCGGCGCTCAAACTACCCAAGGAGACACTAAGCATCACGAGTATCAGAATAACACAGACGAAGCCTCGCGTCGGATGGTCAACTCTTCCAGGTCCCGACGACGGCACTACCTTGGCTTGGTTTACGAAAACAACAACGCATACCGAGACCGAGACCGAGACCACTACCACGACGGCATCCACTACTATAGATCTAAGGAAGAGTACAGCAACATCCATGGGCCTTGGTGAGACCACGGAAACATCAATGAGTCCGGGGAAGACTGCAGCGACATCCATGGGTTTGACTGAGACTTCAGCAACATTGGACCCAGAAGAGACTGACACTCCAACGCCACAAAAGAATAAACACTCCGCTGGCCTTCAAACAGCCGGTATCATAATTGCAATTCTCTTTTTCATCATATTCACCGTTCTGGTCACCTGGAAATGCCTTCAACACCACCAGCAGAATCAGTTCGACGAGGACCCAGAGGAGCCAATGGATGAAGCTAATGAGGCTGGAGGCAGCGCCTTCGACGATTCAGACTCAGAGGCCGATGAGGGACAGGCCAGAAATCTAGTGGCCTCGGTGAGGGGCTGGTTCAGAAGGCACCAGTTTCCATTTCCTCCACCGAACGAGCCTGAAGAACCAGATCCTGATGACGAGGAAGCTGATGACGGGGAACCCGAGCCTCATCCAGTTCCTCCCCCTCCCCCTCCCCCGCCTCCTATTCCTGAGCAACCAGTACAAGCTCCCGCCGCTGTAATACATCCATTTATCCCACGTACTCCTCGCGCTATTCCAGGACATCAAGTCCAGGCCCCTTCGGTTCAAGTACCAACTCCTGATCCAGCTCAAGATCGCAGCAACTCGAGTGTCTACAGCCAGGACAGCGGATTTCCAGAGTCGGTCGAAATACCTAGGCCACTCTCCATAAACAGATCCCGTCGTAGACAGGAAGAACCTCAGCCGCCTCAGGAATGGAGGACAACTGGAGAGCCTGCGCAAACCGGAAATTATGGCTGGATTTAATCTTGTGATTGCGCCTTGGATGGAACAGAATGAAATATAGTTTTGGTTACACATGTATGATTTCATCAGCGTGTTACATCTTGTGGGAAAGTTTGTGGTTTGATCTTACAATACAGTTAGTTACTCCTTTTCATGATTTACCTAGACTATTATTACACCACGTATAGAACCAAGAGACAACTTATAAGCCTAAAAGAATCCGGCAGTGGGAATAGCTTTGTGGCTATAGTAGATCAGTACCCAGTGAGGTGTGTTTGTCTCAGGGATACCAAAATGTCCTCGCAAGACACACCACGTTGTCATTGACGAGACATTTGTTGCCGACATATACACCCTCAACTCACGCCAACTCGTGGCCTCATTTCTACTCACATCCAACCCAAAAGTACTCCGCTGATATCGTACAGTTGTATTAAACATAAGATAGCATAGGTCGTCTGTCTCTTTTTTCCTTCGTCTAAGAACCAACCAACCAACCAACCTCGAGCGGCTCATCACGCCACCGATAACCCAATAAACGCCGTGCCATGCCGCAGTCGAGTGAAGATGTACATTGTATACATGGAGAAAGTGAACTCCTCCCTCCCGTCCCTCAGAACTCCTTTACGAGGTCATCGTACAAGAGTTGTTTTTTCTAGTTTCATTTGCTCAAGGAAAGTCGTCAGTCCTTGTAGACCTTGGGCTTGAAACCCTCTTTAATTTCAGCCTCTTGCTCCATCTTCTCCCGTATAGGACCAATCTCTCGCTCGAATCGCTCCTTTGCTCTTACGATCTTGCTCTGAAGATAGAAACTGCCACCCTTTTGAGGATCGTTGGCGTCAAACAGTCGCTTATAACGTGAGAGAACTTCCTCGACGTTGGCTTGTCCACCAGCCGGGGGCTTGACGTTGAGGATCTTGCATGCCTCATCGAGAGTCATACCAGAGGAGAGAGAGGCACCAGCGGATGGGTTGCCAGCCTTGGCCTGCGCTCGCTGGTACGCTGAAGCAGCCTGGGCCTGCTTATAAGCTGCGACAAATGATCGACCAAGGATTCGGGAGCCTGTTAGGAAGGCCGTAACCACGAATTTGTGCGCCTGGGGTTATATGTTAGCCGTCACTCCAACCAATGCGGCGATTCTCGAAGTAAAGAACATGGCGGGCATGATCCAAGACGTGGGCGCATACCATTTTGAAGAATTATGAGTGATGTAGACGAATTGATTATCGGGAGAAAAGGTGGAGATATCGCTGAGAAGCGACGTTGAAATAGCGGCCCTCGTTCGCGACGAGGGAAAGGATCGTGATGGCGCTGCTAGAGACTTTTTCCCCGGGTGCAAAGTCGGCGGAGGCGGATCATTCCGAGGTCGGAATTTTGCACCTCCGATCAACCGGCTGCTCAGCAAGATCTGCCGAAGTTTAGCCGGGTCACCCATTCACCACGATTCACCGAGCTTCACCGAGATAATGCCCCGCGATGGAGCTGCAAGAAAGAATGTTAGCTGACCGCAATGAGACGCGGGACGTAATAAATTTCATGAACCGGTTCTGAAACTTGTTGCTGAATCTTAGTTACGAAGAGATTTATTCTCCCATTCCCTACATTCATGTAAAGCTTTAGAAACTTTTAGTTGTTTTGTAAGCACCTCTTCAACACATTTGTATAGGGTATCTCAAGTGGACTGGTGTAACTAATTCAACGTCCGTCCAACTTCAGCATTATATCTCATACTCCACAAAAGAAGCTGAGATCATGTCTATGTCACCTCAAGACGTGGCTGTCCTGATACAGCGTGAAGGAAGCGGAGCATCGCCAGAAACTTACGATACCGCCAACGAACCTGACGATGCTGTGGTGAAGCGAACAAAGCTATCATCTTCCGTGCTCGAAACTCTTAAGCAACAAGATCCCTCTTCGCTAGAGGCTACAGCCAAGGCGTTGGGCGACGGAAGTCGAGATGGTGAGTGTGAAATCCCTCCCCATCTGTGAATTCGTTAACATGGCCACAGTGGCTTGGAGACTCCCTTACGGAGATTCAGGAATTCTCGAGTTCTTCCTTGACATTCTTGCCTCGGATGAGGAGCAGCCTCATGGTGTCAAAGTCCAGGCTCTGCGTGTTACCGGAAATTCTTGTGCTGATACAGATCAAAATCGAGCTCGAGTTGTTGAGGGCAAATATATCGTTTCTTTCATTAAGCACCTTCAGGACATGAGTCTTGTTCCATACTTGATTCCGGTGCTCTACAATGTCCTTGTTGATTATGGTGAGTCTTCAAGACAACGCTCGAGTGGTACAACACTGATGCTCGTAGAACCTGCTCAACGTCTTGCTTCAGAGTCACGACTCAGCAGTCATCTAATCACTCTCCTTCAGTCACCCAACCGCGCTGCTTTCAGCCCTCTTGTCACTTATTTCTGCAAGATCCTTGCTCTCCTCATCACACAAGATGGTGAGGTAGCTGTTGCAGATTCAGAGACGGCCTCTGTTCTTCTCAAACTGGCAGTCAGCCCTGACCACAGCACTGATATCGAGGACTTTCTCGCCCTCGTATCTGCCGCAGCCAGCTATCTTGCCAATGAATCCTTCCAAGAGCGACTCCTCAACTCAAAAGAAGCAGACGTCTTCGTCAAGGCATTCTACATCGCACATACCCAATTCGACTCAGAGCTTGATGATGAAGACACTGCCAAGGAACTGGGGCAGCTGTGTACTTCATTGCTTACAACCCTGGCTGACCTGACCGGCAACGATGCTTTCCCAGCTCATTATTCCCTTGAGAGCTCAGTGCCACAGTCGCTTCTTAAATGGTTGAAGGAGCCGCATGTTATTCTTCAGTCCGCAGCTTGTCTGGCTCTCGGTAACCTCTCCCGTTCAGATCAGGCTTCCACGGCCTTTGTGCAGAAGTATCAGGCTCATCTTCCTCTGATTGCAATTCTTTCCAACCCAGAGATCAAAGATGCCCAGCTTCTTCACTCCGCACTGTCTTTCCTCAAGAATCTCGCGATTCCGGCACAGAACAAGACATTGCTAGGGGATCTGCTAGAGCCAATGAGTGTACCAAGGATATTGACCATCGATACTCTTCCTCAGGTCCAGTTCTCGGCAGTTTCACTACTTCGCCTACTGCTTGTGAACTGCCCAGATAATGTTCGTCGAGTTGTCACCCCCAGAACAGCTGAGGGAGAGGGGTCCGGCAAGCACACAACTGTCCATGATATGATCTCGTTGTTTGATCGATCTGATACGGAACCTACCCGGCTCGAAGCCGCACGAAGTGTTGCTACTGTGTGCCGAGTTCTTCATACAGCACCCACAGAGGAGGTTCTTACTGGATGGAGTTCTGAAATCGAAAAGACACCATCGAGGGATCTGTTCTATGCTGAACATGACCTTTCACAAGTGCTGTCATTCCTCCTCACTCAAGAGAAGTGGCCCATTCTAAAATCCGAGGCTTGGTTCGTCTTTGCTCTCATGTCACGATCAAAGGATGGCGCCCAAGTTGTCGCCAAAGTCCTTGCTATATCTGGAGCTATGGATGCTCTCAGTTATGCAGTCACCGGAAAGACTACAAACGACGAAACACCACAGATCGAGGGTGGTGCCCCCGAAATCCCCCCAGCAATTCCTGAAGAGCTGGCATTGGAACCTCAGCAGGTTGACCCGAAACAAAAGGCTAATATGGCCAAGGTGGACAGGGAGAACTGTCTGGTATTGTGTACCGAAGTTGTCAAGAATAGCGAGACTCTGGAGTCAGAGCAAGTCGGTCGATTACGAAGTTTAATTCGACAGGGTACAGAGTTGCTGGGGAAAAAGACTGAAGAGTAGCAGAGTCTCGAAGTATGGAATAAACACAGATACTAAACATAGACATCACTTTACAAATCGTCCAGAGGATTGAAATCATAACGAATAACTTTTTAAAAAAGAGATACCATATGCACGTAATGCATCCATTGACCAAGTAATGATAGAGCAAAGCCGGTGATCATGCAGTAAATTTCTTGAGCTGGACCTAGAGTATCTTTCCTCCATACCCGGCCAAGCCTTTCATCAGAGCCTCGAACCGACGTTGCCCATGTCTCAGAGACGCAAAGAGCAAAACCCTCAAACACCAGTTCCCTTTTTGCAAGTTTATTTCTTAGCCGACTCGGCCTCGGCGGCATCCCGCACACGCTTCTGTCGGGCACCCTCGTATCGGGCGTTGGCACGAGCGACACGGAGAGTTCGGTAAGCACCGGCCTCGATGTTGGAAGGCATGTCACCCTTCTTGATCTCCTTGAAAGCGATGTCGGTGGGGGCAATGGGGAGAGCAGCAGAGACGTGGGAGGCCTTCTCGATCTTGGAGACGTCGGTCTTGGTGTCACCCTTCTTGGGGGCGTTGGATCGGCGGGGGAGGAGGATCAATCGCTCCTGGTAGGCCTTGAGGCGGGCAACGTTGGCAGCGAGGGACTCCTCGCTGAGGTTCTGTCGGCGGAAATCGACAGCGATGCCGATGGTGGGAGCGAAAGCCTTGGGGATACCGGCCTCCTGCGTGGTTGTTAGAACTGCAAATTTTCTGGCGTATCTCGTATCGTGTGCATTCGACCGAGACGCAAAATATCATACCTTGAGCTCAGCCAGGGTGAAACCACGGCCGGAGCGGACACGGCGGTTGTACTTAAGGGTAGGGCATCGCACAACAGGTCGGAGCTTGTCGACAGGTCGAGGAGCGAGGGCAGCAGCCTTGGCCTGACGAGCTGTGCGTCTCCGCGACTTCTTGCCGGGCTATTCCATAGTCAATATTTGTGTGCCAAGTGAATTTCCAGAAAATCGAGATGAATCGTTTCTTCTCTTCTCTTCTCGTCGGGTGCATCGTCATACCTGGTCGAAGTGGGTTCGAACCCGGCGCTGCCAATCCTTGCGGAAGTCTGTTGAAGGAGTCAGTCCCTCAAATCCTCTATCATATCGTTATTCGGGAGTGGTGCGGCTCACGGTTGTTGACGAGCTTCTGGTTGTGCTTGATCGCCTGTAATAAATCAGGTCAGCAAATGCGAATGCACTCGAGCGCGATGAACATTATCCATCGCATTGGGCGTATCTCCATACCATTGTGTCTGCTTGCGATCAACGTGCTCCGATGGTCGATGTCGGTCGTGAGGCGTGTAAAATTCGGAGGGTAGAGGCTTGTCCAATTTCCTACTCCAAGAAGGGTTTTGCCCTGTGGCCGATTCCATTTAGTGGGGTGGAGTCCGAAATTGCGGGTCACGTGCTTAGTGGGTCTTCAAATGCATGATCGGGAGATTGTTGCAGCGGTGCCGCCAGGACAGGAGTTAGGCGAGCTTCGAGACTTGGTGTAAGTGATTCAGAACAGCAGCGAGTTGCTATTGATGGGCAGAATTGGAAGTGCAGAAGTGCAGAAGGCTCTGTATATCATTACGACGATTCACGGACATTATTACTAGCACAAAATCTGTTTTGGTAAGAGATTTTCACAATAGAAAAGTGTTTGTATGCGCTCGACCTGGAACCTCCTCTTGAATGTCTCATCACGTCGAATGCCTTCGGGCTTATGGAACATCAGAATGTCTCATTGTCAGAATGTGATTCGTAGTCTTCACATCATGAGAAATGTTTCAAATTGGCATTCAATGTATTTTTGCTTGGTAGCCATTGACGCTGAGATTACCCATCGTCCTGTACACATGCAGACAAGGTAAATGTCCCTAGAAAAGCCAAAGCTCTTTATCGTTGACTTAAACGAAAGAGATGTCCTTGAGGCGTTATGACAGACAATACCTAAGTACCAAGGTTAGAGGGTATAATGTCTGAATGTGCACTGCTTGTTCAAGTATCACGATCAGGAAGGTCTTTGTCAAATCATCACTGGTCATGCATTTCTTCAGCACTGGCGCTAGTCGCTGCATCTAGATGTAACTTTCCCTCTCTGTGGTCCATGCACTCCACAACCACCAATTGCGGCAGGAACACATTCGCTCAGAAAATAATTTCATAAAATCTCAACTTAATTTTGGTTTGGCAGGTGCACACAGGTGCCAGGCATTTGCACAATTTCAAGCATCCACAAAAAGTGGCCCCTGCCCTGCTGCCTGCTTGCAATTTCTCAGGCACCAAAGGTGACGCCTCATTATCAAGGCATCAGTCCGTTCTCCATCTGCCTATATAAAGCCGGTCTCCCTCCCTCATCTTGTC